CGGGAGGATTGGGGGTTTGTGCTCTAAGGTATGCATCAAGTCTTGAGGGATTTAGATTGTTTTTTGGTGGTTTCGGCTTCGTGGCGTGGGGTGCTAAGGAAACCGTAAACCCTAAACCATGTAAGTCCTGGGGCTTTTTTATGCCTCAAGGCTTTCTTGCAGGTTGCCGGGTCGGAAAGCTACAGATCAGATTTCAGGCTAGTTGGCCTTAATAATTATCAATACGATTTTGGGGGGCTCCCTTTTATATTTCTAGTGACATGGGCCACAAGTCCCTATTCTAGCTATTAAGGCCCCTACATTAGTTACTTTCTGTCGCAGGTCGTTCTCGCAAACTCCGCAAGAACGATCCGGATTTCGAAAATAATTTGTCCTCGTCGAGCAACTTCCAAACGGCGACGCAGTGCCTTGGATGGGCCAGTCTCTATAACGGAGCCTCATCACCCAATGCTAAGGACCATTTGGCTTCAATCGTAGGGCTCCTTGGAGGGTGCTGGTCAACCAAGCTCACATCCGCAGTCCGCACACTCCTAAGCCTCGCACACTCCAACCTGGACGCTCTCTGCAACACCCCCAAAACCAGGTTTGTCACCCTGGCTCTTTAGTCGGGAATGGGGGATTAGGTTCTAGGGACAGCTACAGGGACTAGCATAGCCTAAACCCTAAACCCTAAACCCTAAACCCTAAACCCTGGATCCATTCCTCCGTTTCCTACTGAGAGCCGGGGAGCTGCAAGAGCTCTCTAGATTTAGGGTTAGCTGGGTTCGGGGTAAAGCCGCAAACATCGTAAATCCAAGCTGTAGTAGAGCCGTGAAGTCTGTAACTCGCCTCACCCAGTTTTACCCCAAACCCTAAACCCTCCACTCTGGGTTTAGGGTTTAGAGGGTTTAGGGTTTAGACTTTAGGGTAGGGGGGAGAAGGCAAAGCCCCCAGTCCTTCAATGGGCAGGCCTGCAAGAACTCAAGCCAGGTCCTAACACCCGAAACTGAAGATCCTAGATCCTAAAAACCAAGCCCTCAAATGCTGGGGCTTTACGGCCCTAGGGTCCAGAAGACCCTAGACCCATAACCCAGAATCCGAACATGCTAGTCCGACACCACAGATCCCACCAAATCCCATAATCCCCAAATCAACAAAAACCCTAAACCCCCAATCCACTAATCCTCCTAAACCCTAAACCCCAAACCCTGAACCCAAAACTCCAAAGTCCCTACACCCTATAGGCCCGACGCCAAAGTCCCTACACCCTAAACCCAAAACTCCAAAGCCCAAAGTCCCTGAACCCAAAACTCCAAAGTCCCTACACCCTATAGGCCCTACGCCAAAGTCCCTAAACCCTATAGGCCCGACTCAGGCTCCCTCAGCTCGAAAGCCTCGAGTCTCGGCAGCTTCGCCTTTCAGGCTTTGCGAGGTCCACGCTGTCGCGGGGAGGTGTGGGGATTTGGTTTCTTTAAGGGCTCCCTTCAGGTTTAGGGTTTAGGGTTTAGGGATCAGGGTTTAGGGTTTAGGAGTTGGGGTGCAGGGTGGGAGTTCCTTTAAGGGGTCTCCCTAATGCTACCTAGGACAGGGATCTAGAAGTGTCAGGGCTGCACAAGGGGTCTAGGGTTTAGGCAATCAGGTTTATGGGGTTTCGGGTTTTGACGTTTCGAGCTTTTAGAGTATAGGCAGTATAGGTCTTAAAAATCCAGAAGAACGTAAGGCGTGCGGGCTGCTGTTTGGATCTAGGAAGTTTTGACTCCGGTCACAGATGTTTGAAATGGTTTAGTAGCGCCTCTGGCTTGCAACGTAGACGTAGTAGCATTCCACATAGTTGTCGAGACGGTGAGTGAGACTAGCTCTTGAGGACCCTCTAGGAGCAGGTTAGATGAAGCACCATCTGAAGAATCCTAAACCCTAAACCCTGAACCCTAAGCCCTAAACCCCAAAGGCAAATATTCAAGATAAGCAGAAAGCTAAACCCCAAAGCGAGGCCGAAAAGCGATCAACAAAGATCCCCTTGACCCCTACATACCATGAAGCCAAATCTGCGCCATCCTCGAAAGAGGCTCAGGGTTTAGGGTCTTATGGCTTTCTTGATCTACAATCTATAATAATAGGGTTTAGGGTTTAGGGTTTAGGGTTTAGGGTTTAGGGTTTAGGGTCTTGTGGCTTTCTGTATTCATAGATGGGAAGCACCGAGCCCCGCCAGCCTCCCGAAAGAGTTGTGCAGCCTCCATGCCCGCCACATGAGCACCCTCCTGGAAACGGGCTTTCAAGATGTGAAACCCTAAGCCCCTAAACCCCGAAACCCTGAATTCAGGAGGGCGTGGAGCATACGGGCTTCTACACACGCTTAGGTGCTTTTGGGAGTTCTGTGCATGGTCTAGGTGTCACGTCGGGTGAGGGGGTAAGGCCTTGTGCACCTATGGAAGGAATTAATCGCTGAAGCCTTGCAGCCCGAAACTCCCAAAAGACTAAACTAGCCCTTCACCAAACCCGAGGTACAACAAAACAACAACCTCGTTTAAACACGAATGCAGCAACACACGTCGGCTGCCGAGGGACGTAGGCTGCCAGAAGCGCTTTAGCACAGGCCTAGGAGGCGGTCTTCGAGGTTTTTTGGCTTCTGTGATTCAAGCTTTAGGGCTTAGGTCCTAGAGCTTCAGCTTGCCCTGACAACAAAAAACTGGCTGTTGTGGATTAACCATATGGCAGAGTCTCCGAGGCAGCTTTCATGTTGCTTTCGATCTTCAACAAGGCTGGGTTCTCTCTGTGCATTTAGGGTTTGGGGTTTAGGGTTTAGGGGTTTAGGATTTAGGGTTTAGGGTTGCGTAACGTGTCGCACTGCAGGTGTGCATATGCAGGTGCGCAAAACAGCTTGAGAACCTATAATATAGGGGCCTTGATAATTAGAATAGAGTTTCATCCTCACAAACTGAGATGTTGAGCGTAGGATTTAGGGCGAGAGGGTTTGGGGCGTGAGATTGAAGGATGAGTGTTTAGGAGCTCGCCCCGGGTCTAGATGGTTTCATTTCTTGCAGTTTCGGGATCATGTTTCAAGGTTCGGAAGTAAACCCTAAACCCTAAACCCTAAAACTAAACCCTAAACCCTAAACCGTCTCCGGGCCTGTCTGCATTCACTTAAAGTTACTCAAGATCGGAAGTCTGAACCCTAAACCCTAAACCGAAACTCTAAACCCAACCGGGTTCATGACTCTGGGTCCTGCTCTGGGAGCTCCTTCACCCTTTCTGTCGAGTCCTACTACCCAGGTCGACATAGAAGAGAGCCTGAAACCTGAACTAAGCCCCAATGGAGTACAGCTCCTGAAAGTTGAAACAGCTCTGCATAGACTTGCCACGAGTGTGCCTGCGTTTTCGGCTATCCACAAACCGAACCTAAAAACGCTGCTGCAACACTCTTTTTTCGATGTCACTGCGGCCGCTCTGCCCAGATCTTTGCCTACTGAAACCCGAAACCCTAAACGTCCCCAAACCCTAAACGTCCCCAAAACTCTAAACGTCCCCAAACCCTAAACGTCCCCATAACTCTACACGTCCCTAAACCCTAAACGTCCCTAAACCCTAAAAGTCCACAAACCCTACACCATTTTTTACGAGAAAAGCTGCTGGCTCAAGAAACTACTCCGGCGTTATCGCACCAAACGCAACTTTCAGGACAAAAATCCACCGAGGCTACTGGAGCAATATAGGGTTTAGGGTTTAGGGTTAGATGTCTTAAGCAATACGGTTTAGGGTTTAGGGTTTATGGGTCTTGAGTGTAACGTTCTCTTGTTTTTGGACGCATAGTGACAGTTCTGGGCACCATACTTGGAGGTTCATGGGACTTAGTAAGTTCTGTTATAAGTACCTTAATTGGGGTTATAAGTACCTATAAGTATAGTTACTAAGTCCCATGAACCTTTAAGTAACCCTTCAAACCCTAGAGCTTTACTAGGTTCCTGAGTGACCACTACTTGATAAGGGTACCCTTTTTCCTGATATCGGGTTTTAATAAGGAGACCCCAAAATAAAAAGGGCAAAAGGGTACTACTCAGGAACCTAGTTTATGATTGAGTATACCGAAGAGAGGTGCAGCGACAGATCTGGGTCTGCAAAGGTCCTGAGAGGCTACGAGCCTGGCTCGGCTGAGATCCGCACAGTGAGTGCGACGGATTGAAGCTTTCAGGTTTTGCAGAGAATCGAGGTGACGTGGAACAGTTGCGTGTAGAGCTGTCTACAGGGGCGTATCTACGCTCTCGTCTACACACCGGACGCGGACTGTTAAGTGGCGTGTCAAATTCTGAACCGAGCCAGGCACCAATATGCTCTACCTAAAGGTCCAATTGATCGGTTTAGGGTTTAGGGTTTAGGGTTTAGGGTTTAGGGTTTAGGGTTTAGGCTTTGGTCTCACCGGACTTTCTTGCTCAGCCTGGGTGAATACTCGCCTGAATCTTTGGACCTTTGCCGCCTTCTTGTGAGGATACACGGATTTGTTGCGGCCACAGGTGGATGCACCGCATGCTGCGAGGTCGGGGTTTTGGGGCTTACGGCTTCAGCGAATATGGGGAGGAGAACAGAGTCCCTTCAAGGGTTCGATACCGGTTGCTACAAGAGTTCTACGATACCCGGGCGTGCATGATCAGACGAGGGTTTTGGTGTACGATAGAACAGTACACAACCAGCAACCATAGAGGGTTTAGGGCTTAGGGCCTAGGGTACTTGGAGGCTCAGGGGACTTA